GGAAACTTATGCGCCGGTTGCCCGACTCGAGGCTATACGCCTTTTACTCGCCTTTGCATGTGCAAAGGATTTTAAGTTATTTCAAATGGATGTTAAAAGTGCGTTCCTTAACGGTCACATAAATGAAGAAGTATATGTGTCTCAACCTCCCGGTTTTGAATCTCATGAATACCCTGAACATGTTTACAAGTTAAAAAGAGCTTTATATGGTCTCAAACAAGCTCCTAGAGCTTGGTATGAGCGACTAAGTAAGTTTTTACTTAATCAGGGGTACTCACGAGGAAAGGTTGACACTACACTCTTCATTAAACGTCAAGGAAAGCACTTGATTTTGGTGCAAATCTATGTTGACGATATTATATTTGGATCCACTAACATGAATCTCGTGAGAGAGTTTTCTGACCTCATGCAGGGCGAATTCGAGATGAGTATGATGGGGGAGCTCACATACTTCCTCGGCCTGCAAATTAAACAACTCCAAGAAGGGACATTCGTGAGCCAAACAAAATATTGTTTGGACTTGATCAAGAGATTTGACATGGCAAAATCCAAGGCCATAGACACCCCAATGCCTACATGCGTAAATTTGGATAAAGATGAAAATGGCAAGGACGTAGAGGTAAAACGATATAGAGGTATGATTGGTTCACTTCTCTATCTTACTGCGTCACGTCCTGATATTATGTTTAGTGTGTGCATGTGTGCACGATACCAATCATGTCCCAAAGAATCCCACCTAAAAGCTGTTAAACGAATTCTTCGATACCTGTCAGGTACCCCGAAGTATGGATTGTGGTATTCTAAGGGTAGTGATTGCTCGTTGGTAGGTTACTCCGATTCCGACTTTGCCGGGTGCAAATCGGATAGGAAAAGCACTAGTGGTACATGTCATTTGTTTTCAAACTCCTTGGTTAGTTGGCATAGCAAGAAACAAGTTTCAGTTGCTTTATCAACGGCCGAGGCGGAATACGTTGCCGCTGGTAGTTGTTGTGCTCAAATTCTGTGGATTAAGCAACAACTACTAGATTTCAATCTTAAACTTGAACGTATTCCTATCCTATGTGACAACACTAGCGCTATTAACCTTACCAAAAATCCCGTATTACACTCTCGCACTAAACATATAGAAATTCGACACCATTTTCTTAGGGACCATGTTGAGAAAGGTGATGTTGTATTTGAACACGTTGACACTAAAAACCAACTAGCGGACATTTTCACAAAGCCGCTAGCAACGGAACCTTTCTTTCATATCCGCCGAGAACTTGGCATTCTCGACATTTCAGAGCGGGAGTCATAAATTGCTTACTCTATCTTATTTCATTTAAAACCATACTTTTGTACTTCTAACAAATTGACGTTTTTGCAAGTACAAGTATGTTGTTTATCAAGCTACTCCGGCATTAAGGTGATATTGTTCCATTTCTCTCTCTATCTCTCTCTAATAACTCTCATGATCAACAATTGTATCGTTTGACCTATGTTGCATATGTATGAAACTTTTTTTTATGATAAACTGTTTGGATGCAAATTGTTTTGTGGCATTTTAGGTAGGCATCAAATATGGCTTGATATGTGACATTAAGTGCAAATCTACATTTGTGCATCCGAACTGAGCTACACACCAAATCTGAACAGTTCAACTCTTTTTCAACAAGAATGAATGAAAGATTTGCAGCTTTCACAACTGCCCATGGATACCAAGAAACAGTCGTCTCTCGCAGCATCAATCGCCTGAATCAAGCAGTGGATTACCTCACTGATATGGCTGATCCATATCGTTATCCGTCTTCCTTTAATATGGGCAAGGGACAAGGATATTAGTCATTTGTTTTTGCATTTGCTCATTCTCCATGTTGTTTTTGTTATCATGTTCTGTTTTATCTCTCCTAAGTGCACACTAATGTTTGTTTTACAGTCTTGATTCCTATAAAATGTTATGACTTATGTGTCCTTAATCTGGTTTAATCTATTTTCAATATTTTGCTCATTGTCAATATTTTGTGTGGATATTGGTATATGATTACTTATAACCTGTTGAGTATTTTGTTAATTGTTAATATGCCAAAACTTTACCTTTCTCCATCTCTTTTTGATGTTGTCAAAGGGGGAGAAAAGACAAGTAGATTGTAGACCACAACAGCTATGACTGTAAAAGAAAGGGGGAGCTTACTACTATGTTAAAGATATCGCATGTTGTGTTCACCAAGCTTCGCACAGGTTTGTCATCATCAAAAAGGGGGAGAATGTGAGGGAAAACTGTCTCACAACATACGTTCTCAAGTTTCGATGATGACAAAGTACAACCTCGGATGAATCGGAGTCGTCATGCATACTTACGATGATGACAAAGTACAACCTCAGATGAATCAGAATCGTCATGCAATACTTAACATATTACATCCTTCCTATATCCTTTTAAATCATCATATTTAATTGGCAATATATGTGACTAATGTTTGGTCGTGACAAGATGCACGAAACAACAAACATATTTATGTTTTTGCAGATTTTTGAACCATGAGCCGACCATACCGTCAGCACACAGTTTCATTCAGTTCACACGGGTCAGCGCATGGAACCATGCGTCGACCGCTGACTTGGCGCATGCAGGTTTAAGAATCAGACGGCTCAGCGCATGAAGATCATGCGTCGACCGCTGACTCGGCGCATGACAGTTTGAGTGTCACACGGCTCAGCGCACGCCGACCCTATGGTCGACCGTTCGCGCGCAGAAACAGAAATTCTGCTATGTTTCATTGATCTGTCAACTGTCTGTTTTGTATATTACTATAAATAGCTGTCTTTTCAATTTTAACATAAGAACATTTTTGAAAGCATTGTGAGAAAGTGTTCAGGTCAAGAAACGTGAAAGAGGTGCATCAGTGTTCTTCATCTTCATCGTTCAATCAACTCACAAATCCTCAAATTACAGATAATCAATTTTTTGCTGCGGTTTGTGGTTTGCTCGACGGTGATAAGGTTCGAACGCGTGATTGAAGATCCGGTTCGAGTGGAAGCTGGTGCAGGTGTTTCTTGGGAGAAAACCTTTGAGGTTTTACCTATCAAGACTACAGGTTTTGAAGGCTTTTGTTACGGAATCGTCGGTTCAACAATCAAGCGAGTGCGAAGGTGATTGATTAGCGGAAGGTTGATCAATCTAGTAGCTAGGGCGTTGAAAGGTTGAAGACGTTCCGGGTTCAATTTGGGTGTGTCTAAGATCAGCCGTGCCGAAGGTTTGATCAACGGAAGAGTTGTCAATAAGGTGGCTGCAATCGGAGGTCATTCACATCAAATTGGAGGACTTGATTCATCTTGAATCAAGGGGCAAGAAGTGGTAGAAATTATCAGCAACATTAAGATTGTTTGTATCAATTGTCTATCGATTCTTGTGTATAACTGTTCTACCAAACAGGTGATATCTATTCAATACATATCTCAATTCTCATTGTAGAATTGAGGGCAGACGTACCCCAACGCGAGGACGACTGGGGGAACTGCCTCATCAAATCTTGTGTTCCTTTATTTTCTGCATTTTCAATTACAGCTTAAAAATTAAGTGATTCTAGAATAAGTGATTTTGTCAAATTGTAGTATTGATTGAGTGAGTTGGTGAAACACTGTTTTTTAACTACTAAGTACAATAGAAATACTGTACTAAGGCTTTTTCAATCACTCATTCAACACAAATATCATTTAAGGTATTTGTGCACACCAACTGTTCGACAAAAGTGCTGAACTAAAATTGCCTTAATTTTGCTGCTAGTTTTGGTGTAATTTTTGTGCACACCAACTGTTCGACAAAAGTGCTGAACTAAAATTGCCTTAATTTTGCTGCTAGTTTTGGTGTAATTTTTGATCATTGGAATAAGGAAATAGTACGAGTGAATCACATCTGAGTTTTGCATAAAAGTGTGTAGTGATTTACTATCCGTTATCGTCTTAAATTCATCTGCTTGACGCATATCCGGCTCTCCAATAGTTGTTCGTTTTAGACTATATTTTCCAAGGCCGCTTCCGCATTTGAAAACAATTTTGAAAACCAATTTTATTGGTAGCGCCACTCAAATTTTTAAAAGGGATCTATTCAACCCCCCCTTCTAGATCCGTGCCTTAGTCTAACAACTCACACTTAAAGTTTTTGACTGGTAGATTTGCATCAAAGAAACAACTTGAGGCTCACCATTACTATCATGCTCCACAAGTAGAGAACTAATATTCATTGAATACATTATTTCGATTCTATTAAGTTAGTTACGATTGGTTAGAGTTTACTCTCCTTATATATAGCTGCCATGTAACTAATTTCAATCCATTCAATGAGAATCACTTTTCTTGACAATTTTACTTTTATCTTTCTCTCTATTGTCAAGTTTTGTCCCCTTTTCACCATGATAATGGAAAACTTCATGAACAACTTTAATGTTATTAAAAAAATACTATTTATATTGACTAGAACAATATGATCTACATAAATTAGTCTTACTCGACTATTTACACAACTTTGTCCACATATACACAACTTTGTTTGAGCTTAACTTCTTACCTATTGTTTTTGCTTAGTGGTGCCATAAACTTGGAGCACATCTATTTTTTCCAATTTTTAAATCTTAGACCACCTTTAACGGTGGTTTTTCAAATTGGTTTGCCAGTTTGGCATTGAAATTATAAACAAAAAGTTGTTCCAGCTGGTGAACGTTACAAACATAAGCAATGATTCTTTTTTTTATTATTATTAAAATAATCATTTAGCCGTTGTGCAACGGCTTTATTTTTTTTTTTTTAACTTTTTTTATTTATTATAGATATAGGTTTGTTGGAAAAATTGTATACCAATCCTATTTTTTCTCACTTTTATTTACTCTTTAATTTCAAATTTCTCTTTCACAATTTCATCATTTTATTCATAAATATTTAATTTTTTTCCAACAATTTCTTCTCATTATCATTTTATTTCAAATTTTCATCTTTTTATTTCAAATTACATTTGTTTAGGCCAAATGGATCCTAATCATTTTCATTATCAACAAGTTATGTTCAATTTCATGCAAAATTATCAAAATCCTAATTCTCAAATTTCACCAGTACCACCAAACCCCGCCATGTTTTTTCCGTCACCAAACAATCCAAATATGTATCAAAATCCTAATCCTCAAAATTCTCAAGTTCCACTATTTTCTACTCAAGTTGGTGTTGAAAAAGAAGAAAGGGTTCTCGTTAAAAAAAAGTCTTGAGAGCAATTTACAAGGGATGAGGATATATGTCTTATCCAATCATGGCTCAATGTTTCAAAGGATCCAATTGTGGGAGTTGATCAAAAAGCTGAGAGTTTTTGGCATAGAATCGCTGCAAATTATAACCAGTATCGCGGGCAATTGTGAGAAAAGTTAAGGGGTCAATTAAAATGTCGATGGCATCGAATAAATGCGTCGGTTCAAAAATTTGTTGGGTGTTATAGACAAGCTGTCAATGGAAAGAAAAGTGGGACGTCAGAGAACGATATCATGGCTGTTGCACATGCTTTTTATGCTCAAGATCAAGGTACAACATTCAATCTTGAGTATGCATGGGGATTGTTAAAAGATGAAGCTAAATGGGGCATCATCGGAGAATCGATTGGAAATTCTTCAAAAATGACACAGACTTCTGCTAGTGGGGCATCATCGGAGATCCCTGATACACCTTCAAGTTATGAGTTTAACTCATCATCACCAATGGAGCGTCCAATGGGACAAAAAGCAGCAAAAAGGAAGGGTAAGGCAAAGGAAATTCCAAATGCAACGCAAGATGCAAGGAATAAAAGAGCAGAAACAATGGAAAGACTTGCGCAAAGTAAGGAGGACGTGATAGAATTAAAGGTAATGCAAATCATGATGAAAGACACTTCTACTATGAAAGAAAGTCAACGAGAGATTCATGAAAAATATTGTACTAAAATGAGAAAAAAATATGGACTGTAGTTAGTACCACTTTAAATTATATGTAAAATGGTCATTAGTACCACTTTAATTTATCAAATCGTATGTAATGTTATTTATTTTTATTGTTTTTAATTATGTGATATTATTTATTTTTATTGTTTTTAATTATGTGACATGTATTTAAATTTAATTTTAATTATTATTTTCAATTTTAAGTTTAATTTTAATTTTATGTTTAATTTGTATTTATATTAATTAAAATTTAAATATTTCAATTATAATTTTAAATAAAATAAATTTAATATAAATAATATATTTTTTTAAGTAAAGTGGTGGGACCCAATATGAATTTTTTGGAGTTGCACCATTGGAATGAAAATTGAATGAGTTGCTTTAAAAGATTGGGTTCCACAAAAAATTTAAAAATGGATTGCACCATTGGAGGTACTAAGTGGGTCTTGATTTATTATAATAATCCCATGAACTTCAAGTACTTTAGTACACCTAAGATAGTTTTTAGGTCCTCACATTTAGTTGTCATTGCACAGGCATATTATTTTTTTCTGTTTCTCAAATTCTAAGTTATTTTATTTTTAAAAAAATTATTTTAAATTATAAATTACCTTAAGTAATATTAATAAATTACTCTATGTAATATCAATTTTTCTCTTTGATATAATTTTAAAGAGCATTAATCTAAAGTCATACATAATTTCTCCTTTTTATAAATGACTTTTATATCCTCATAAATAATTTTATGAAATACCCTGCTTCATATATGATTTATTGATTCTTTTATTCATTGAATTTTGTTGTCAATATATTCATATTAAATAGCAAAGCTCATAAAACTTATATACAAATTCATATATTTTGATGATATCTTCAATTTTTCATATATATTACAAAAAATTGCATGTTGTAATTAATACATATATTTTTATCGAATAAAATTTAATTTAATAATATAATATAATAAGATAATGAAATCACAAATTTCTTAATTAAAAATGTTATTTTAGATCATTTTGTAATTATCAACTAACAACTAATTTATCAAACACTCAAATTAACTTATTAGCTACCAATCATCAACTATAAACTATCAACTATTAGTTAAAAGCTATCAACTATCAACAATAAACTATAAATTATAAATTAGTTTTATCAAATAGAACATTTGTCGATTACCTCTTACATGTGAGATGATAATATATAAATAATATATATTCTACGTGAACAATGTCATCATGACACCGTAAAACCAATAAAATTAGCTCTTAGATCCATGCCCCGGTCGGCTTGTGAGCGAGTAAAACTCATTAACTTTTTCTAGTTTTATTACTCTGACAGTAAACTTAAATTCCTCAACTTTTGGATTGATTATTGTCCCTGATAATTAGGTCATTCTCTTAAATAAATAGCATTGAAATATATATATATATATATATATATATATATATATATATATATATATATATATATATATATATATATATATATATATATATATATATATATATATATATATATATATATATATATATATATATATATATATATATATATATATATATATATATATATATATATATATATATATATATATATATATATATATATATATATATATATATTTCCTTTATTAATTTCCTATACTTCTCATGCTTTATATGGAACTTTATTTATATATTTTTTAAACCTAATTCTTACAAGTTTATGTCTCTCAAAACCAAAGCCCTCGTGAAAGAATTTATCTTAGGGCCTTTCACCTAGTTTAGGGTACTGTGAACCCATGTCCCTAAACAATCAAAGCGACTTTGAAAGTGTTCTTCTTTAATCCGACTAATTCTCAATTTTTCTTTGCCCGTAACTTGTTCACTTTTGAGGGTAGATAAGATGATTTTAGAACAAAACCTTGCCTAACTCCTAACTATTTTGTGTGGATCTATAGGGTGGAGATTGATAAAGTTTCACAATGGAAGAGGTCGGGAATCCACGATTTGTTCATGTTGTCCAAAGTGCACATGAAGTTTAATGTCAAATATTTATTTAGTTTCTATTAGAGTTTGATTTAACACAACCTTACAAAACCGGTTGGTAAAGTGAGGAGTGTCACTCTATATAAACTATTTCAGTGGTCTCCCTACTTATTGGTTTGTAAGTGCCAATTCTTTTATATTTTCTCAGGGTATGATGATACATACCCTTCTTTATATGGATATCATACATTTCTTCCTTATCCTTGAAGCCACCCCTATGACCAGTTATGGACTCATTTTTTAAAATATTGGAACTTCACATTTGATCATATAAAAGAAGATAAAGAGATGCATTCCCACATTGCAAGAGCATGATAATACCATGCACTTTTTCTTACTCGATTAACAATTGTTATTTTAGTTAGATTGAGTTAGTTAGGATGGTGATGTCGCATAACTATCTAATATAACTATATAAGTATGTTGTAACTAATTACTTCATCAATCAATGCAAATCGTTAGTTAACACTACGCCAGAATTGACTTTTAGCAGCGCATAAAAAGACAGCGCTTTATAACAAAGCGCTGCTAAATAGTCAGTAAAAAAAAAAAGAAAAAAAATACATACCAAAGACAGCGCTTTTAAAAAAGCGCTGCTAAGGGGGAGCCTAAAACAGCGCTTTTTAAAAAGCGTTGCTAAAAGGGGATCCTAAGAAAGCGCTTTTAAAAAGCGCTGCTAAAGGAGGACCCTTTGAAAGTGCTTTTTAAAAGCGCTGCTAAAGGGGGACCCTACGAGAGCGCTTTTTCTATAAAGCGCTGCTATATGTCATTGCTAAGGCACCCTATGAAAGCGCTTTTTAAAGCGCTGCTAAAGGCCTTTAAAAAGCGCTGCTAAAGGTATTAGTATAATAATTTTTATATACCCTCCAGAATTTTAAGAGAAACAGAAGTCGCGAGTTTCTTTTTTTCTTTCTTTCTCCTCTGCTCTGGCGAACGAACTTTGCCCTATATACCCTCCAGAACCATTCCGTTGCCGTCGCCCTCCCTCCGACCGTTGTCGTTGCCGTCGCCGTCTTCCGTTCACCGTCCGTTTTCGAGTGCCTCCGTCCATTGCATTTCCAAAATTGTTACGGTATGTGTAGTTTTACTATGGTTTTCTTTTTTATTGATCTTTTCACCATTATTATATATTTCTTTGAACCTTGATATATGATATATGATAGATTTATTGGAAAATATTTGTTGTCGCTTTATTGGAAAATATTGGAAAATATATGATAGATTTATTGGAAAATATTTTTGTTGATGAAACTTTTGGTATTAAAATTGAAACAATCTGTTTGTAGAGAGAAGGAATGTGCTTCATGTTTTATATATATATATATATATATATATATATATATATATATATATATATATATATATATATATATATATATATATATATATATATATATATATATATATATATATATATATATATATATATATATATATATATATATATATATATATATATATATATATATATATATATATATATATATATATATATATATATATATATATATATATATATATATATGTTGTTATGGTTTTATATGTTGATGGTTTTATATGTTGATATGGTTTTATATGTTGATGGTTTTATATGTTGATGGATTATCTAGTATTTTTAATATGATATATTTTGGTGGATTATCTAGTATTTTTGTTTTGTAAATTATTAATATGATTTTAATAAAATATATATTTTGTCTGTTATAGGGGTTACTTGTGAAGAGCAAGGTTGTGATCGTTTCCAAGCATCCTACTGTATAGCTTTCTTAGAAGTTAGTGATTTCTTTACAGGTATTATCTGTTTTTGCTTAGACTACTCAATTATTATGGATAAAAATTGGATGTCTGTTAATCGATTGTCAAAAGAGTACGAGAATGGGGTATCGAACTTCGTTAAGTTTGATGTTGAACACGCCAAAATCTGATGTTGTTGAAAAAGTAGTAGGTAAACAGTTAATTGGAAATAAAGTTGTGACAGTTTCAAGGGATGAACGGGAGCAAGTGCATTTATATGTTCTGCACAATGACATTGAGGTTGAGCAGTACGTTAAATTGCACAAGGACGTTCTCCGAGGTTTAAATCTGAATAGAAATGAAAATTGGATAGTACGTGAGCACAATCGAAGTTTTATAACATGGTTCAAAGAGCATATTTATTCAAAGTTTTATTCTGATCCCGCTTCAATAACATAAAGGTTGAGATGTTTAGCATATGGTCCAACTTTGCATGTGTTTTCTTATAGCGCATACGCAATTAATGGATACACATTTTATACCAAGGAGCAAGATGATAAAAGTACAATGCAAAATAGTGGTGTCACTGTGCTTGCCGAATCAATGCACATTTCCTCGTATTTTGGGGTAATCGAGCGCATTTGGGTGTTTGATTATGAGAAGTTTTAGATTCCTATCTTTGGATGCAAGTGGGTTGAAAGTAATAGTGGCATACGTATGGATAAGTCAGGTTTTTTGCAAGTGGATCTTAATAAGGTGGGGTACAAAGATGAGCCTTTTATTCTAGCCACACAAGCTAAACAAGTGTTCTATGTCACTGATCCGAAAAGTACGAAATGGTTTATAGTTCTTTTTTCCAACAAAGTAATCAACGATAACATTGGAGAAAAGGGGGAGGTTGATGTTGAGAATGAATCTTATGTTAGGGATGATCCAGATGAGAATATTATAGCAGACGAATCATATATTAGAAATGATCATAGCGAGGGAATTTGGATCAATCCATCCGTCCGTGTTGTTAAGAGACAAGTAAAGCACCTTCGAACTAAAAAAAGAAAAAGATGTTAAAGGTACTTGTAAAATTACATATTGTCTCATTCAATAAAATAACATATTATTTCTTATTTATACGTTTCTTATGTGTGTGTATATATATATATATATATATATATATATATATATATATATATATATATATATATATATATATATATATATATATATATATATATATATATATATATATATATATATTTCTTATTT